AACTGCGCCAGCCTAACGTTCAGCGGAAACGAGCTAAATCAGGGCACGCGAAAATTGCGATAGCGAGGCAAAAAAAAAAGTCCTTTCATTCCGTTTCCCTGACGACCACAATCGCCGTTAGTCGTTCGTTCGCTCTGCCACTCGCCCCTCTGACTAAAGGCCTGGGGAAGACTACAGTCCTGCGAGCCTGAGATGCTAGGTCGACGGCGTGCATAAATTTTGAGAATTCACACAATCTTAGCTAACCTACCTCGTCGTCCTGTTGTACTGATTTGCGTCAAATAAATAGTTTTCTGTCACACTTTTCGTAACTTTGTGGTAACAGACCATCGCACTATAATACATGTAAAGCAAGCTGTTGGAATGGTTGATAAACTTAGTGAATTCCAGCCATGCATGCTTTCTGACAAGATCACTCTTCCTGAAAATATATTTGTTTATGTTAGTTATCAGAAACTACTGATAAAAATAATTTAAACCTACACAAAGATTATGTAAAACTTTTTACGACAATTTGCAAGCTGAAAAGCCAAAAATTTTTTAAAAATGACGTCATTTTTCACAAATGAAGTTGTGAATCTAATCAGATATCTTGGGGGGAAATAAGATCAGTTAAACCTTTCTCTCCCAAGACCTCATTAGTAATTCTCTTTGCTTTCTGCCATACAATTCTTATGATGTTAGTTCGGAGAATTTGGTTTTGAATCAACTAGCAATTCCCTTTCTAATATTTTTCTTCATTGTCATTACTTGTCTCTTTGATATTGTATTTATCATATGAGGAGAAGTTCTGTCTTGGTCACTAATGGGAGTCAGAGGCGTAAAAATCAACTCATTTTTATCTTGAAATCAAAGCAAGGCGAGATGATAAGAATATATAAATGGTTCAAATCTCCACTCATTGTGAAGGAAACATAAAGAGAGGGGTCAGTCGTCGCAAACAGAGTTTACAGTTGGACTATTGAAAATTAATTGCAAATGAAGGGGAATTTTTAAGAATCTATAGAGCTTTAGGAAATGATCAAATGATTTTTCTGTTGCTTCACA